AATAGAAGCTTTAAATATAATACATGCAAGTCCAAAAAAATTGTAGTTCAGAAAAACTTGATGTCTGACTACGAGACCGCGATTCACTGTTGCAAGATTAAAGAGCAGTCTTCGGCATTACAGCCCCGGATGCTAAATCCGTATACCTTATGCACTCTTGCATTTGTCACGAGGTGCATCGTGTCGTGCCCTTTTGTACGCCTGCGAGGAATGTCAAGGAAACGGGCGGGCAGGGGGAGGGGAGGATGCAAGGACGGTATGCGTGTATGTGTACAAGCGGGAATGCGCGCGTTCTTTGAGAAGCCGTAACGCTGTCGTACAAATGGGAGCGAGAGAGAAAGACACGGGAAACCTCGTTAACGAATCCCTCAAATGCCTTGGATGATACATCGGCTTGCTGACAGCATAATTGGCTTGACGCGAGACAGTTTGAATTTACCTTGAAGATTTCGCGGACCAGCGCGAACCGGGGACGTGGCGGACGTCGATATAGCTCACATTTTATGCAAATCGATTACGTCGCGTCTCGTGTAAACTCTCCAAAATTCCGTTTGAGTTATAGAAAATTGTACCTGCATTCTCCATGAATTAATAAAAAAAAATTGATTGTATCTATTTGTATTTTATTCAAATTGGCTGCGTTCAGCAGAAAAAGCGGCTTTGCAACTGTTGTAAAATTCTTTAATATATCGACTCGTTTATATGTTTAGATTCATGAAAAACGGCAAGAGCCAATCATGTTGGAGAATCTCACGACAGTTGCAAAGCTGCTTTCTCTGCTGAATGCAACCGTTGTCAAAATTGTTATTGCTGTTGATTATTAATTATTATTAAATGTAGTTATTGATTAAGCTGCATATTACGATATATTCTCGAAGAACGACTATAGCAAAAAGCTACTAGTCCTTCGATGAATGCTGCTATTATGTCCGAACTGGTATCAGCACGCTCGACTTTCTATAAACCCGATAGCGATTACCATGCGACTTGACGGAACGCTTCCTTCCTGAAGCCCCGACATCGCTGCCCCCGAAATCCCCGTATCAATACGGACGAATCCAGATCCGAGAGGACAGCAAGTCCGCGGACTTGCAGGCGCATTCGGTGCATCCCGATCGCCTAAATCGCGCCCATTTCCCGCCATTGTCGTTTTCCAAAGGGCCGCCACCGTCCGCGCTATTGTAGTCTTGACGACAATGGACTGATGAGCCGGTATTGTCGAACTCGTCGAACTGTGTTTGCACCGGATAGGGGTGCGAAGAAGAAAGATAGAGAGAGAGAGAGAGAGAGAGAAAAAGAGGGTGATCGTAGTTTGTGAGGCGATGCATCTGATCAAAAAATCGGGAATCGGTCTGTTTTTTTTTTTCCGACGATAGATCGGGCCGAGTAAGTCTCACACGTTTGGCCAAACAAACAAACCTCGCCTCATCGCGTCCGACATCTGCGCAGCATCCGACTCCCGTAATCCCGGGGGGATTAACTCGAGACCCGGAGCGAACGAGTATTTTCTTGACGGGACGAGAGTCGAGATTCTCTCGGCTCGCGCGCGGCTCCGAATGTCGTGAACGACGGACGCGCGCACGGAAACGCACGGGATACTTTCGCAATTTTCTTCGAGGAACGCGCGGAGCGAACCAAGGGATCTCTACCAATAAAACGAGAGAGATAGAGGGAGAGATAGAGAGAGTGTATATATTTCTCTTCGCGAGAGAAAGCAATTATGCCGGCGCGCAATGACTTTTGCTAGGAGACGCGCAAACCATTGTAGCGGCTCGTGACAACATCTGGAGAAAAACAAGAACTCGTAATTACGTGCTCCGCAACTTCTGCCGCTACGAACGAGCGAGTATCGCGTAGTAGTTGAGAAACGGAAACCGAACGATTTCAAGTCGCGTGCAATTCGAAACGCGCGCACAACCGTCGTCCGCTCTTTCCTTCGAGAAACAAAAAATTATTTAACTTGTACAAGAGGTGCGGGTGCCTCCCGTTGTCGCGAAGTTTCCGGTTCGCCGAGGCGCGCGAATTACCAAGTCGATCCTCGCGTCGAAAACTTCCGCGTCGCTCAAAACGCCCGGGCGATACCCTCGCCGCCGAGTCGCGCAAACATCATTCGGAATTCATTCGCGGAACGTCTTATTTCCTTCGAGACGGATCGAAGGGGGTCGACAGACGGAGAGGAGGGGCGCGAGTGAAACGCTCTCCACCCGCGCGCGGATGAATTTTACATATTCCGAATTTTCCGCGCGATTACCCCGCGCACGGGCGACGGAGAATTCGCTTCTTTCTACGCGTAATTACCCGCGCCGCTGCCCTGGCGCGACGCCACGTTAACGCGCGCGGGCCCGCGTAACTTTACATAGCGGGGAAACACGTAACAAAAGCCGCGTGTATGCAAGAAGCGCTAATTTATCACGCAGCCACTTGCGAGGTGCGACAGGGGAGTTGTAAAGTAAAATTTGTTCCCGAAAACAAATTATAAAAGTGCGTAATAACATATTAATGGGCATAATATCGCTTGTGTAACAGTAACTTGGTTCCACGCTACGTCGTGTGTGTGTATGTGTATCTTTAGATAAAATATTAAATTTAATAACATAGAAAATCTTCGTAGTTTTTTTCATCGCTTTTCGAACGGAAATATATATAAAACGACATTCGCAATACGCTACTTTCATCGCCGAGCCATAAAAACGCGATGTAAAAGTTGTGATAACGTTTACTCGTCGCTGCAAAATTATTCTGTAATCCGGTCTTTTGTCAGGAAACTTACAATCTACTAAATGGAATGCTAAGATGCACAGTCGCGCGAGTTCCGACTGTGAACGTTATCATGACCGCGGAGCGAAGCGGAGACAAGTACGCGCGCCGCGCGGATTTGCGAGAGCGTACGGACGTAGAAAATTGCAATCGCCGGGGTCATAATGGAGTTGTTCCGAGCTTTGATCAAACGATTCCGTTAGTTGTCTCGTCAAGAGCAAACCGCCATGAGTCTAGGGACCGACGGTTAATGGGAGTCGTACAAAGCTTTGCCCGAAAACCGCAACATGTGGGAATGCTCGCGAGCATATATACGGGAGGGAGAGAAAGAGAAAAAGAGAGAGAGAGAGAGAGAGCATTTTTTTTCGAGCACGCGTCGATGCGTTTCTCGTCAGCGAGCAAGCAAACAGACGAACTCTTTCACCGTGCGCTTTCGCAGAGAGATGCGCAGCGTAAAAAAAAAGTGTAATTTATGATTTACGATTATATATTACGTCATGGAGAGGAGTATAATATAAACGACATTGAATGATACATAATTTGTGCCGCGACATCTAAATAATTAAATAGCTTTCGGTAAGCCCGATTATTCAAATAAACAACTGCTGTGTTGATGGATTTTGCCGTGTAATTATTAAATATTCTCTGCTTTTAATGATTTTTTTAATAGCCTGCCAATTTCATCGCACTAGGGAAACTTATTGCGTTTACATTTATAATTCAACGTGTATTCAATATTACCTCATTTGATCCCGTATGAAGGGGGCCAAGATTTGCATATTAATTGTTTTTAATTACAATCGGGAGTTAATTAACGCTTTTGTTTTACAGGAGCCATTCAGCCGATGATTTTCACATGCGAAAGGAAACAGCTGTAAACCGCAGCTGAAGTAGAACTCGTTTCACTGCCCGCGCGGTGATCGAAATCGCGCACGGCTGAGCAGAGGCGTACCTTTACTACTTACGCGACACGGTGCTCGTAAACATTCTCCACTACAAGTAACGTAAAATTCCTAAATGTACTTTTATTTTATTTCTTTGAATGTTCAAAGGCCACGTAATATAAACTGACTATTGTCATTGTAATATAAAACCAATTACGAGTATATATTTATTGAATTCTCACTGAAGGTCGATTTTATCAGTAATTATTCGTATCATCATTTTCTTTCTCTTCCCCTTCCTCCTCCTCTTTCTCTCTGTTTAATGATATAATAATATAATTGTAATAAAAGTTTGTTTCATAAATACGATGCCAATAATCAGTGCAAATATGTAGCTTTTCTGTATCGCTATAAATTGGTAAATTGACATTCAAATGCGTGAGTAAAAAAAAAATAAGATTATGGAAAACCCGTACGCTTGGAAATGCGGATATCATAAATTCAAGCAGGCGGCCGCGGAAAGCAAATCGCAAGGGTAACTCGAAGGAAGATCGAAATGCTTTATAACGTCGTAAACAAAGCCTCCTTCCCGATTTCACGATTCTCCCCGGGCGCGTCAGACGAGCTTTTTACACTCCCACGGCGTCGTAAATCTTCGCTCTCGCATTAACGGCAACGTGAAAGCACTGAGAAGAGCTCTCGCACGAGCGAACGCGGATAGCTCGTATTCGCCCTAGACGTTTCCACTGTTTATATCGTCTTACGCTTTTCTCTCATACCTAATAATTTTATACAATAATCCCTTTTACTCCCCCTCCTTCGGACGCCTGCAACCACATCCGCAGCTTGCAGCTGCGCCGTGATATTCTGAATTTTTCACCGCGGCATATTTAAAACGCCGTGTCATTAAAATAACATGCGAATAGAACAAGATAACGTGAGTAGAATCAAAAGCTTCGTGAGAAATGCACATTCGATGGAATCTTTATAATTTTTTACGGTAAAAATTTTTAATATACAATCTCATGATCTTTTGTAATAAATTAAAGTAAAATTTATTTTAAAAAAATAATGTAAATTACAACATTATTTTTGATACATCATTATAGGATTTCAATGTTTAGCTCGTGTCGCAATTATTGATCGGCCGTAAAGTTTTACTGTAATTAGATTAGACCGAACGTCGTCGTTCTCCTAGTATAGTTTATGACAGATGTATTATATACACCGCGCGCTTTCAACATGAACGTTCGTCAAACGGAGGCTTCTTTATTGGACAATCCAATTTCAGGGTCATCGCGTACACACGCGAGCGCGTCCACGTGTCCGCTTGAATATTTCAACGATTAATTAACTTACCTTCAAGGGTGGTCTCGTCGGATCTTTCCGCAGCTCCGCGAAACGTGCCTCGAAACTGTCGTCCCAGTACTCCCGACTCCGCATCCACGAGGGCTGCAAGAGAAGGTAAACAACGGTTAGAAATTTCGTGGCCCCCAACCAACCGCTATATATATTGCTTCGTGGCTAATAAAACGGAAACGCCGCAAAGACGTAAATTTCGCGGACTCTGCTCCGCACGCTTGCCCGGAACTACACAGTATCGCGGAATGAGGCAATAACGTACATATTATATATATACGTATGTTGTTATACTTTTGCTCGGTGAAGTCGGGAGAGAAAGAGAGAGAGAGAGAGAGAGGGGGGGGAGGGAGAGACTTGATGGATGTTGGTAATTTCGCGAGGAAAGATTAATCGATCTCGCTCGCTTTTAATTTAATTGTGTTTCGCGCTTATTGCCTAAATGGTACACTGCAATATTGCCGTGTATATCTTTCGCGAGACTTAATAAACCTGTACCCTAATTTCACGCGAGTACACAACAATTTCACGTCCCGTCGAAATTCAATCTGATTTTTATACCCGTCATTTTTTTTGTAGATTTTCACAGACGCTAACTTTATTGAATTTATACCCCGCACGTCGCTATAACACTCTTGTCGAATTACACGACCATTAAGTGCATTTAAATCTGTTTGGCGACACTCGGTTTTTTTTTCCTTTCCGCGACCTCGCGTGCATTTGCTTCTTTTTATTGCCCACCGTGTTAATAACGGCTTTATCGCGGTAACAGTTTTGACGCGATACCTTGTCGATAAGGTAAACGCACGGGTAGTAAAATCACGATGACGTTGACCTTACACAAAAGCTTCGCTTTCCATTGAGATTCCCTCGTGCTGATCTTACGACAAGCGTAGCTTTAGATAACAAGGGCAACGTGCCGCGACTTTGTTTAATATGTAAAAAGTGGATAAGGTATTTTTCCAGACTCTTGAACATTTTTCGAAGCGCGAATATGCGAGAGGATAAAATGAAGAAAAAGAACTATTGTTTTCTAATTGCCGTTTACTTCCACAATTGGAAATATCCCACGATAAGCATTAAAAAATTTTTACGAATAAAGTTTTTGAAGATCCAAATGAAAAGTAAATATGATTCTAACAAGTATTTAAATGTCGATCTAAAAAGAAATGTGATACGTAGCTTTTTGCGAGCTTCGGATGTATTTAACGATCGAAAAGTATAAATCTTTGGGTGATTGATGAAAATCGCTCGGCGAAAGCTTGATTCGTCCCGGATTCGGGTGGTTCCGGGAACGCCCTGTAGCAACGGCAATAATACCGCTTGAATACCGTCTACGGGTGCGAATGGGGCTCGAGGATGGGAAGTAATGAAGTAGAGCGAAATTGGATTTCGCGTGGAATCTGATCCGGCCGGTTCTAAACATCGATTACACGAGGTCCGGACCGCGCCGCGCTGCGCATCGGCATAGATACCACAAAATTCGAAGACTCCCGAGTTCCGACGCGCCTCGTAACCGCGGAAAATCCCGAGCGGGCTCGTGGCGTATATATATATGTAATACAATATCAATCGGGCCATTAAATTTCGACGGTGCCTACCTACTTCGTGCCTGCCAATCAAGATAACGTTTTAACGGCCGGGACGCCGTTGCCGAAGTGACCGCAGACGCTCGAGTGAGCGTAGAGTCGATGCCGGGGGTGATGATAATTAATCACCCCATGCATCTCTCTCTCTCTCTCTCTCTCTCTCTCTCGATAGAGCGGCGCGAAATACGAGATTCATAAATTGATGTTGTTGCAAACCGAATATCGCAAATTACGTTAAGTGATGAAATTAAGGTAATTGATATTGAATTGGTGCTCTAGACATAGAAATCTCAATGCAGATTATCCAATCTACATTATAAAATATGCATTAATATCATGAAATAATTAAAATTTGAAGCGTTCTTGGAGCGAAAATTCATTTTTACGAACCTGTTGAATTTGGGCGCCGATTTTTAATTTTCGCTCCAAGAACACTCCAAACATCAATTACTAATGAAATATGTACATAGTTTTTGCAAAGCACAGCGAGAGATAAGACAAATTTTTTTCAATAAGATCAGCGGAAATATTTATTATCATCAATTGTAATTAGAATTAAATATTAAATTTCAGTCACATCTTTTTATCTTCTAATTAAAAATTTGTAGAACTTTTTAAGTTTCATGATTTTAAAAGAAGTTATTTACAATACGTTGAATGGAAATTTATTAATGTTATGTTAAAATTATCACGAATATTAATAATGCAAGAATGCATAATTGTGTGATCTCACATCAGCCGAAAACACCATATTTCCAATTATTGCAAAAATTGCGTACAAATTTTTTTGCGTACAACTTGTTTAACTAATTTTACTACTCGAAAAATACAATAATTGTTTGAGGAAAGATATGGCAATGATACAATTATTGCATATTAAAACAAAGAACTGAGAACGGCCAACCGAGAGGACGATCTCGTTTTAATTTCTATCAACAGCAAGCCGAGCGAATTAATCACCATAAATCCGGGATCGACGGCGGAGATAAAGCCGAGTCAAAATTAAATCCCAAGTGAAGAGCTCGTCCATCGAGCCCAACGGACTCGCCATCGAGATATATCCCCCCCACCGGAAAGGTCTTCCTCCACGAGGCTCTCCGATTATCCGGCGATCGGTCGAGCTTTCTTGTAACGGAGCTTATCCCGTCGACGTTAATTAAACATCGAAAAGCTTCGCTCCCTAATCCGTCGACCGAGGTAGCTTCTTTCACCTGGGATTATTTAGCCGGGAAAGAGAGGATATTTTCGGATCTTCTCGATTCGATCTCCCCCTTCTCTCGCTTCTTCCTGCTTCAGTTCAAATCGAACCGGATGTTTCTCGCTTTATCAACGGTCAAAAATTTATTTACAAGCAAATTAAATTTTTAATTAAAAAGTAATTAGCATCAAACAATGTCTTTCTACATAATGCGATACATGATCGCGAATTTCACAAATTATGTCAATTCATAATATTTACGTAAACTTTTTTTTTTAGAGAACTAAAAAAATTTATGAAGAAGAGATAATTTTTCACAAATAATTTAAGTTCGGGCATAAAAAATTTCGCGCTCTATTAATACTTTATATGTATAAGTCGGTCAGATTTGGTATGGATTGATTAGAATTTTAGAACTCTATTTTAAGACTATTTTAAGACCGATTTTAATCTCAAACGCCAATTTCAACGGAACCACAACGACGGTTTGTCGATCGCGGGAAAGGAGGGGAATGTTCTTTTGCTCCAATTGCACTAACTATCCCGTCCGGCTTCCCTTCCGGTACACGGGAGCGAATGAAGATGAAGCGTTTTACGGGCTATCCCGGAAGGAGAGGATATTTCCTCGGAGGATAGCGATCTTAGGAAGATGCCAGGGGATGAGGACGAACGGACGGGTCTTAAAGGGATATCGAAGTAACGCTATCTTATCGACACAAGTCCCGCCGGAGACTCCCGGGCAACTGCGTACGGTTTTACAAGAGCCACTTTAACCGTTTTAACGGAAGCTCGTTATTCGCCTCGAAGGCCGATTGGTACTTTCTTCTTCGAAAGCGACTCATTTCAATCGCGACAGCAGTGTTTCTCGAGCTTCGTCAGACGATGTCCGGATGTGGATATATAGATCAAAATTAGCTTCTTCATATTTGCAAGTTATCTCTCAAATTTCCCAAGCGCAAGTTGCTTCCGATTTGTTACTTGATACCAATTGTTACTTAATGCCTAATATTGTCGTGACCGAATTATGGCAGTAATTTTGCAATCAGAAATTTTCAATACCTAATTCTTATAAATTATTCTAAGAATAATTTAATTGTACGCTTTCCGACTGTATGGCGCTCTTTTTCACATCACGTTATGTATTATATCTTTTAGCTTCAATAACGCCAGCACAGGCAATACTATTGCGTGAAATAAATCTTATTATAATAATTGATACTCTAACGAGTGAATATTCTTAGATATCGACTCGTAATAGAGATGAATAATAGAGAATATAATGGCTGCGTTTAGCAGAAAAAGCAGCTTTGCAACTGTTGTGAGATTCTTCAACACGATTGGTTCTTACTTTTAGCTCTTCATGGGTCTAAATGTATAAAGCAATCATATTAAAGAATTTTACAACGGTTAAAGCAAAGCTGCTTTTTCTACTGAATGCAGTCAATATGTTGTATAGTTAAAAAAAAAAGCAAGTATTTTGAAAAGAGCATTAGTCTCTTAATTAAGAGAATCTGATAATTTTTATTGATAGTTCCGAAGCTTAAGATTCATTAATTTTCATCCACATCAAGGACGACGTGCACATGCTAACTGTATACGGCGTCGCGTAGGCGTCGCGTAGTTAACAACTGCACGGAGCGATGCGTGATTCGACGGGAGATCGTCGAATCGATCGGGCCGAGACTGACGTTGCCCGAAATACCGTCGATCCGCGGCGTTTCACGGCGAAATCTACTGCACTCCACAGGCCAGCTTATTCCCCGGAATAAGTTCGCGAACGGCGGGTAGATTGACGTTTCCCGCAGATACTCGACCATCGATCCGCGCGCATCGCCGACAGTCTACTCAAAGTTGAAGCGATGGATAGGATCCCGCGCAATGCATGCAGCGGCGGATTAATATAGGCATACACGAGGCTGTCAGCTGAGATTCCGAAACTCGCGGAACTCTGCGGAAAACGCGTGGAAAAAAAATCGAGTTTCGAGCGTTCGAATTTCATAATTATTAAAAAAAAAATCAAGAATTCATATTCTCTCTTTCTTTAAATTATTTAAAAAAAGATTAGCGATAAATAAAATAAAACGTGGATATAAAAGGTATACAAAATTGATTTTGAAAAACTTCTGAAGATTTTAACACACCATTGATTCTGGAAATAGCCTGTGTATATGTGTGTGGGCTTCTATGTCTGTCGCATCCCTTTCGAAGCGCCTTCAATAGAGGTGCACCGCGCGGCGCTTCGTGCTGCTTTGATGCGTGTATAAGAATTCCTTCATGCAATTTGCGAAAGTACCCCCGACGTCGTT